TCAGCCAGTGCTTTTAACTGCTGAGCCATCTCTCTAGCCCCCAACATTGCTTTATTTTAAGGGTAGAGATCCCAAAGACCATAGGTATATCAAGTCCCAGGTTTTTAAAAAAAATCCCCAAAACCAAAACTGTTGGTGGGTTACCAAAGGTTTTCTAATCAGAATTGGGATAATTTTTTGAGGGGGGTCTTTTTGAGACAGGGTCTCCATGTAGCCCCAGGAAACTTGAAACTTGCCATGTAGACCACACTGGCCTCAAACTCAGATCTGCCTGCCTCTGCCTCCCAAGTGCTGGGATTAAAGGCATGTGCCACCACGCCCAGCTATGGGACCTATAATCTTAAAGACCAAAGAGTCAAATGAGCTGTGAAAACTCTCATTTGTTTATTTTTTAATTTAAACTTTTTCTTTTTTTGTCTTTTTGAGACAGGGTCTCCCTGTAGCCCCAGCTGTTCTGGAACTCACAATGTATACCAGGCTGGCCTCGAACTCACAAAGATCTGCCTGCCTCTGCCTCCCAAGTGCTGGGATTAAAGGTGTGCGCCATCACGCCTGGCATAAACTTTTATTTTAAAAGTCAGTGGTTTTGTCTCTGAAGGCAGTAACTTTACTTACAAACTGTGTTTTTTACATGTGAAAGGTAATGAATGACAAGCTTTTTTCTGTCTGGAAAATTCTGTTTTTATATGTTCTCTCTTATTTTGTGATGATACTTGTTTTTCTCTTCTCTCCTCCCCTCCCCCCTTCTCGGCCAGAGTCCTGTGTCTGTTGCTCTCCACCTTATTTTCTGGGACAGGATCCCTTACTGATCCTAGAGCTCACCAATTGAGCCAGTGGACTGGCCAGCAACTCTAGGGATCTTTCTTTCTCTGTCTCCAGAAAGTAGGTATTATAGATGCATGCCACAAGACTTTTATGTGCTGGGTCTCAGTCTAAGTCCTCATACCTGTGTGGCTTACTGACCCACTTACCTCCTCAGCCCTCTTTATTTCCCTCCTGGCCTTTCTTTCCACCTTCTTTACATTATTTTCCACTAAATGACCATAATTGAAGACTTGTTAAGACTTAGTGAATGAATTTTTATATCTTCCTTTAGTTAAAATTTAACTCTTTGAAATTTCTCTTTGTGGATTGATACTGGAAATTCACATATGCCAATGGGAAGTGTTACCTTTAAGTAAGAAGTTGAAAGGTCTCTACATAAGGAAAAGGCAAAGCAAAAAGGAAAATATGACAGTGTTAAGATTTGTAACAATGAATCTTTTTTTTCTGTGAAATTGTGAAGGAAAAAGAAATTCATGCAGGTTTTACTGTTGCATCTCAAGACTATTGTGCATGATAAGCACTTAGTTAAGATGGAAACATCCTTAATTTTGTGGGTGGGAGACAGGAACAGAAAACGTGTTCCAGTTGTGTCAGTGTTCAGTATTATCTATGGTTCCAGACATTCATGAGAAGGGGAGGTCTTATATTTCCCATGAGTAAAGAGGACCGCTTTGTTTAGTATTTCTACTGATACACATTTGCATGAGTACTTTATGATAGTCACATATTAATTCAATACTTAATGATTGCTGGCTGAATTTGTGACCAGAGATGCTCTGGAAATGGTAGGTAAATGATGGGAAAAGTTTAGACTATTGGTATTCTATTAATATATTACAGCAATTGCATATTTATTTAAAATATTTAGTGCTTGTTTGGAATGCGTGTTAGTAAGGATTCAGGACAGAACTGTTTCTAGTCTTCAAGGGATTTTCAGTAGTCAGGAAGTGTCTATAGGCCTTGTTTGCTGTTCTTTTTGTATAATCTTTGGACATATTTTTTAACTAGTAGCTTTGTTCATATGTGATAATGTTTCATGATATGCTGGCGTTTAGATGGGTCAGTGTATGTAGAGGATCTAGCAGGACCTGGTGGAAACAAATACTTAATATGCTGTGCACATGAAAACTAAAAATCCTGAATTTATTAGTCTTGTATCAAGTAGGTGGTATCAGGTAGTATGTGCACTTCTGAAAGAAATGTTAAAAGCTTGACTTTCCAGATGACTTTGCAGAAGAAGCTCTGATGGCTGTTTTGTTTTCAGCACTGTTACTAAAAACATGCCACTTGGTCAGTTTGTCAACCTTAACTGACCGATATATAAAATAAATAGAACCATTCATAGCGGTTGAGTGAAACAGAAGAGACAGATATAAACTTGCCAAACAGAAATAATACAGCAAAATGTTGGTTCAAAAAGTTTAAAATGTGCCAGGTGTGGTGGCTCACACCCCTAATTCCAGGACTTGGGAGGTGGAAGCAGGAAAATCAGGTTTTTAAGGTCACCCTCACCTACATAACAAGTTCTAGGCAAGCCTGGGTGAATGCTAGCCAGCTTGCACTAGTGCCATAACGGGTGTGTGGAGGTTTTCTCCTTCCTCCTTGTGGGTCCCGGGGATCAAATTCAGGTTGTCAGGCTTGGCGGCAAACACATTTACTACTGAGCTATCTCATCGGCTCAGAAATCAATCCTTTTAAAAGAAAACTTCACAACTTCTCTAACTTGGATCCCAAAATTTTCCTAGGGAAAAATGCTTACAGGTTATATCTAAGACATAAATGAATTGAACATGATCTCTGTTACTGAATTTCAGTTTAAAAGAATTAGTGAATCTTGGGGCTGGAGAGATGGTTCAGCAGTTAGGACCACTGACTGCTCTTGTAGAGGACCCGGGTTCAAGTCCCAGCACCCACATGGTGGCTACGAACCGTCCTTAACTCCAGTTCCAGGGGAATCTGAAGCCCTCTTCTGACCTCCACGGCATTGCATGACACGGGTGCACTCACATACATGCAGGCATTACACTCGTATACATAAAATAAAAATAGTAAAATATTAAAAAAAAAGAATTAGTGAATCTTAACTGGGATTTTGATTCATCCCGAGATGTGGGTATCATGAAGAACATCAGGAGAGACTGTATTTGAATGTCTGAATCATGTGGTAAGAAAATCCAGAGCCTCTGCACTACACCTAGCTGTGTAAGGAGTTTATTTTCTTTAGACCAAATATTCACTTCCTATCTGAGATAAAAAGATTTTTTCATATGTTGCATTGTTTTTAGTTCCATTTATTCATTTACAGTCAGTAAGTTTATTTTTCTTTTTCAAGGCAGATTATAATCTTTACAGAATCCCTCTGTGGATATGTAAATGGTCAAAGCCCTGAGGAATTAACTTATCTAGATTCATACACATTAGTAAAGACAAAGTGTTTTGCAACCTTTAAGGCCTGCCAGAATAATAGGAAAGACCACTCTTAGGATTTTCATTACCTTACTTTAAAATACTTTGAGTGTTCTTTTGGGGGCAGATGTACCACTTGCTTTTTTTGACATTTACACTAAATTTGCTTTCTAAATAGTTTTGTGTTGTAGGTCTATCCACTCCCCTCCCCTCCTGTCCCCTTACCTCTTAATAAGAACAGTCTTGCTGTGTTTTGCCAATTTTGCCAATCTTTAATGTTGGGCTTTTATTTTTAGTTTCTCCTTCTTTACTACTTCTCAATGACTATATGAATCAGTATCAGCTATTCTTAGATGGAGCCCATTGTGTAAGACCTTAAGTAGAGCGACCTTGTTCCTTATTTCTCCTGTGAGTATGGTGATGACCTTTGTGGCAAAGAAGGCTCTTCTATAGGTGAGGTTTGCTTTTTTAAAACTGTCAGAGACAAAATAGCGGTGCAATTATTTTACTGTTGTTTCAACTGATCTCAAGATGATTTAAACTGACATTTTGAGAGGAAAATAATGACCTACCACAGCATCTCCTGGTTCTGCCCTAGTTAGCTATAATACATGACATTTTTATAAATATACAGTTTTTAATATTAGAAATTCTGGCATGTTTTGCAGTAATTGGACCTCTTGAATTTTGAAAAATGGAGTTTTGAGTCACAGTTACCTAAGGAGGACCCCAGGCACAAAGTTGAATACTTCTTGCTGTGATTAGCTTATTAGGAGAGAAAAAAAAAATGACACGTGTAGAAGAATGAAACTAGAGCCTCATCTTTCATGTTGCACAGAAGTCAACGCTAAATGGATCAAAGACCTCAATGTGAAACGGGAAGCCCTGCTGGCTCTGGGGCTAGGATTGGGACTGTGTTTGGGAGCCTCATCATTGGTTATGCCAGGAACCCATCTCTGAAGCAACAGCTCTTCTCCTACGCAATTCTGGGCTTTGCCCTCTCGGAGGCCGTGGGGCTCTTTTGCCTACTGGTGGCCTTTCTGAGCCTCTTCGCCATGTGAAACAGCTGTCTCCACCTCCCATGGAACTTTCTCTCATGTCTCATCTGCCCTGCATGTTCCTTTTCCTGAGACTCCCCAAGAAGTCTGGGGAAAGTGGTTGGCTCAGGGTTTGACAGGGACAAGACAATAAATACTGTATTAATAAGATGTAAAAAAAAAAAATACTTGAAGCAATACAAAGAAATAGGGTATGGGTAACAGAAAGAAACTAAATGAAGCTATAATTGTGGAAACACAAAATTAGACAAAGAATTCACACTGAAATATATTTTCTTTAGTTTCCTTAAGAATATCTGTTTTCTGGGGCCAGAGAGATGGCTCAGTGGTTAAGAACACTGTGTTGCAGAAGGCCCGAGTTTGAATCCTAGCACCCACATGGCAGGTAACAACTGTCTGTAACCCCAATTCCAAGGGATCCAATGCCTTCTTCTGGCTTCCATGGGTACTGCATGACATGTGTACACTTACACACATGCAGGTACATACACATAAAATAAAAATGATAAATAATTTTTTTTTAAAAAGAAAGAAAATCCATCTTTTTGTTGTCTGCAAGAAACCCATCTAACCTTCAAGGACAGGAACTACCTTAAGGTGACAAGGCTGGAAAAGAATATTTCAAGCAAATGGCACTAAGAAAAGAGCAGGGGTTGCAATTCTAATATCTGACAAAATAGACTTCAAACTAAAACTAATCAGAAGACACAAGCAGGGTCTCTTCATTCTGAACAGTTAACCAAGAAGATAGTACAATCACAAACATACATGCACCAAACTCTGGTGCACCCAAATTCATAAAAACAACACTACAATACTGTAAGACATAGATTATGCTCAACTCAGTAATAGTCGGGGACTTCAAAACCCCACTATCTCCATTAGACAAGTCAATTGGACATAGAATAAACAGAGAGACATCTGAATTAAATACCATACATCAAAGGGACCTAACAGACATCTTCCAAATATTTCACCCAAGCAACAAAGAATACACTTTCTATTCAACATCCCATGGAACTTTCTTAAAAATTGACCATATCCTTGGTCACAAAACAAACCTAAACAAATACAAAAAAAAAGTTGAAATAATTTTATGCATTCTATCACTCCACAAAGAGAATAAGCAACATACTCCTGAATAACGAGTGGATCAAAGGCGAAATTAGGAAAGAAATAAATGTATTACTGGAATTAACTGAAAAGGACAGTACAACACAACAAAACCTCAGGGACATTTTAAAAGTAGTCCTAAGAGGGAAGTTCATAGCTCTAACTGCCTACATTAAAAAATCAGAGCACATGTAAATGAATTGACAGCACAACTCAAGACTCTGAAAAGGCAAGATCAAACCAACCTCAAACCTAGTAAAAGAGAAGAAATAACAAAAATCTGAGCAGAAATCAATGAAATAGAAGCACAGACAACAATAAAAACGATCAATGAATCTAAGAGCTGGTTCTTTAAAAAGCTAAACAAGATAAACGCTTAGCCCAGTTAACCAAAAGAAAGAAAGGAAATCCAAATTGGCAAAATCAGAGATGAAAGGGAACACCCAAAAGATCCATAATATTATAAGGGAAAACTTTAAAAACCTATACCCGATTAAATTTGAAAACCTAAAAGAAATGGATGGGCATCTAAAATCATGGGAACCACCAAAGTTAAACCAAGAAGAAATCAAGAGTTTAAATAGACCCATAACATATAGGGAAATTGAAAGAGTAATACAAAACCTCCCGACTAAAAAAAGCCCAGCCCAGATGGAATTACAGCAGAATTCTACTAGACATTTAAAGATGATCTCCAACCAATACTACTGAAAGCATTCAAAATGGTAGAAGCAGAGGGAGAACTCCAAGTTCCTTCTACGAAGCCAGCAACACTTTAATACCAATCCATTAAAGACACAACCAAAAATGAAAAGTATATACTTCATGAACATAGATACAAAAATTATCAACAAAATACTTGTAAACCTCATACAAATTCTCATAAAAAAAATCATCCACCATGATCAAATAGGCTTTATTCCAGAGATGCAGGGATGGTTCAGTATTGACTCAAGTCAATACCATAAATCATATAAATGAACTCGAAGATTAAAAAAAGAAACAAAAAAAACCACATCATCGCCAGATGTGGTGGTGCAAGTCTTTAATCCCAGCACTCAGGAGACAGAAGCAGGTGGATCTCTGTGAGGTCAAGGCCAGCCTGGCCTAAATAGTGAGTTCCAGGACAGACAGCTGGGGCTACAGGGAGACCTTTTCTCAAAAAAAGACCAAAAAAACCACATCATCATCTCAAAAGGTAGAGAAAAAGCCTTTGAGAAAATTCAACATGCATTCATGATAAAAGCCCTAAAGGGAACTGGACCGGAGGGAACACACCTCAACATATTTAAAGCTATATACAACAAATCCACAGCCAACATCCTCCTAATTGAAAAAAAACTGGAAGCATTCCCATTAACATCAGGAAACAGAAAAGGCTGTCCACTATCTCCACTCCTTTTTTTCAATAGAGTGCTCACAACTCTTGCTAGAGCAATAAGAAAAGAGAAGGAAATTAATGGAGCACTAATAGGCAAAGAAGTCAAATGATCCCTTTTTGCAGATGAAATGATACTATACCTAAGATGCCAAAAACTCCACCCAAAAACTCCTAGAAACGATTAACGCTTTCAGTAAAGTGGCAGGCTACAAAACTATTCTATAAAAATCCGTTTTTTCTATATACCAATAACAAGCAATTGGAGAAAGAGTAGAGGGAAACCCTCCCACTCACAATAGCCTCAAAAAATACCTTGGAATTAACCTAACCAAAGACATCAAAGACCTCTACAACAAAAATTTTAAATCTTTAAAGAAAGAGATTGAGGCAGACAGCAGAAGATGGAAGGACTTCTCATGCTTATAGATGAAGAATTAGTATGGTGAAAATGACCATCCTACCAAAAGCAATATAGAGATTCAATGCAATCCCAATCAAAATCCCATGATATACTTCACAGAATTGGAAAAAAATCCTTAAACTCATATGGAAGCACAGAAGACTCCAGATAGCCAAAGCAACCCTGAGCACAAAAAGCAATGCTTGGGGGATTACTCTGTGATTTTCAAATTATACTACAGAGCTATAGTCAGAAAAACAGCATGGTACTGGCAAAAAAACAGACCCATAGACAGCATTGTCAAAAAAGGGTGCTGGCAAAACTGGATCTCCACCTGTAGAAGAATGAAACTAGACTCTTGTCATTTGCCTTGCACAAAAGACAACTCCAAATGGATCAAACACCTCAATGTGAAACTGGAAACTGAAGTATTGGAAGAAAACATTGACAGTAACCTACAAGACATAGGTATAGGAAGGACTTTCTGAATCAGACACCAGTTGCTCAGGAATTAAGATCAACAAGCAACAAGCGTAACCACTAAAAAGCCATTAAACTAAGAAGCTTCTGTACAGCAAAAGAAACAATCAAGAAAGTGAAGAGAAAACCCATAGAGTGGGAAAAAATCTCCACCAGTGACACATCTGACAGAAGTTCAACATCCAGAATATATAAGGAACTCAAAAAACAATAAATAAAACAAATGACCCAATTAAAAGATGGGCTAAAAATCTAAACAGTTACCATGTGTTTGAGCTGCTGTCTGTGGCCTTCCCAGTCTTGACTCCTGTCTTAGCAGTTACACAATGGTGCTGCCACCTATTGGCTAGTGCAGATGGCCAATAGAACTTGGATTTGCTGAATGGCGTAGTAAATTACCATTACTTGACTGAGCGATTTAAAGAGTGAAATAATGATGTAAATAAGTCATACTCATGAATCCTTCCTATGACTATTTTTATATTTGAAAATCAACTTGACTAGGGTGAAATTTATAAGCAATAAAATGTAAGATTTTAAGTGTACAATTGAAAAATTTATATACTCATATGACACCATCATTCTGAAAAACTCTGTGCTCCTTCCAAATCAATTCCTGCCCTCCAAAAATTCTAGACAAGCACTGACCCACTTTCTGTCATTATATATTAGTTTTGTCTTTTCTTGAGTTTTAGAAATACAGGGTCAGAGTATGTGTTCCCTTGTCCTTGCTTTCTTTGGCTCAGAATAATATTTGAGATTCACCTATGTTGGGGTGTGCATCAGTAACACATTCAATTTCTGTTGCTGAGTCTTATTTCACTGTGTGATTATATCACAATTTGATTACCCATGTACTTGTTTTCGATATTTGGAATTATTTCCAGGTTTTGGCTAGTAAAAATAAAGCTGCATGTATTTATTGGCTTGATTTAGCTAGTCTACTATAAACACATATATATGTATATATGCATGCATATGTATTTCAAAGTTATACTCCATGAATATATATTTTATTAATTACAAAATAAATTAAAAATTAAAGCTGCTGTGAACATTCATAACCAAGTTTTGTGAGGAAGTACTTGCTTTTCAGGTAGGTTCGTGCACAAACTTTGAGCTTTAGGGAACCTGAGATATTTTGCATGAGTCTAGTAACTATTTTCTGAATTGATGGATAAATAATGAATGTATAACTACCCACCTGAGAGATGAGAGCACCTCTCCAGTCAGTTTCATGGTTTATTTGTGATTCCCTGTCTTCCTTAGGGAATGATGACAAGGGACAAAAACCCTGGGCCCAAGACTTTGGGAGTTTGGTGTGGAGAATATATTATTGCTGGGGCTTGAGACAGTAAGGGCAGAGGGAAGAAATGGCAAGCAGTCACAGCTGGTACAGACAAGGTGGAAGGTCCAGATATACCTGCTGTACAGGGATGCTGACCACAGACTCTTCAGCTATGAACTGCCTAATTGTGGTAGGGATATGCACATCATCCTGGCCTTGATAATGAAGGCATGTTCCCCCAACCACCAGTATTAGCATCATCTGGGACTCTTGCTAGAACTTCCTGACAGCTAATACCACTCCAGACTGGATCACAATGAACCTTTAACAAGATCTCCAGGTGATTTGTGTGTATGTTGGCCTTAAGAAGCCTGCATTGTGACAGATACGTGCTTCCTGGGGTGGGGTTAGGGCCTTGATGTGTAGGTCACGCTGGCCTCAAACTCCTAGTCCTCTTGCCTCAGTTCCCAGCTTACAGGCATTACAGACTTCTGTCACCATGTGCTGCTCTAATGTTTCTGATAAATAGAATCATACAGTGTATATTCTTGTGAAGGTTTGCAACTTTGAGTCAGCATGGGTTTTGAATTCCATCCAAATTCAAGCACCAATCATTAGTTCATTTTCATCACTGCTGAATTCATACTTTTAAGGGGAGAGAAGAAAGCAATCGAACAATTATGTTAAGCACATTAAATCAATCTAAAGATACAAGGGAAACTAGCTCATGTATGTGGTTTGTTGACGACGCGATACCATAGTTCAGCATATCTTGAGGCGTCACATAAGGTCATGATGGAGTTTGTGGCAAATGAATGTCAACACAGCGCATATCAAAAGCACCTATTCTTCACATTTCTAATTTAATCAGTCCAGCTGGTGAGGAGAAGTGCTATTGTTTCTTTTCGCCTACTCCTTTTACACTTAGTGCAGGAAAGGAGCATGCTCCATCTCTGGCCAAGCACGAATCATCTGCGACAACCTCCGTGGGCACTGCCACCTCCTTCCTGCCAGATGGACGACAAACCCTCAGCCGGGACTTGACACCTACTTTCTCCCGCCCAATCCTCTAGGGCGCAGAACCCAAGTGCGCAGCTGTGGGGCAGACAGGGCTTTCCTCGGGCTTCGCCCCAACCGCGGTCCAGGAACACTGTCTGACCCTGCCCACCACCCGCGGAGCCGACCTGGCCCCGCCCACCGCCGCGCAATGGGGCTGGGGCGGGCCAGCTCCTGAGGAAGATCCTGCGGTCCGCTGCGCCTGCGCACGGCGGACTGTGGGCGTGGCGCGAGCGCGGGGGTGCGGACCCAGCGGGCTCGGAACCCGAGTTGAGTGGTGCGGGCGCGGCGGACGCGTCGGTCTGAGAGCAGGCGGAGGGGCTTACCCCTTCCTCCGCCGCCGGAAGTAAACTCTGAGGTTCGGTCCGGGCGCTTCAGCCTGACGCGGGCGAGTGTCAGCGCTTGTCCCCCTCCCTTGGCGCCATGGACGCGACGGCGCTGGAGCGGGACGCGGTGCAGTTCGCGCGGCTGGCGGTGCAGCGGGACCACGAAGGCCGCTACTCCGAGGCGGTGTTTTACTACAAGGTGAGGCGGGCCTCGAGCTCGTCACCGGGGCGCGCGCCGGTGGAGGGGCGGGGTCCGGTATGGACGCGGCCCGGCCGGGTGGGGTGGGCCCCGGCGCGTGGGGCTCGGGGTGTCCGGGGCCTCGGTGGCTGAGTCGGAGCCGGCAGGTGCCCCGGTGCTGGGTGGCGGCAGGAGCTGGGTCGGGCGGCCTAGGAAGTGGTCTGCGATGATATGATATGCCCAAGGGTGCGTGTGGATGTAGAAAAGAAGGTAGACTGGGAAAGCATACATCCATCTCCTATCATGTGATGTGCCTTCGTGGTTCTTTTTCTCTGCCTGTGTGTGCATACGGTTCCTTCACCCACAAACTCAAATCATAACCTTTATACTATTTTTTTATTTCATTTGTTACTTTTATATGTATGAGTGTATTTGCCTGCATGTGTGTAAGTACACCTGTGTCGTGCAATGCCCGCAGAGGTCATAGAGGGCGTCAGATCCTCTGGAACTGGAGTTAGGAATGGCTGTTAGCCACCATGTGGGCGCTGGGAATTGAACCCGGGTCCTCTGCAAGAGCAGCCAGTGCTCTTAACCGCTGAACCGTCTCTCCAGCCCCTTCCTATTTTCTTAAAGCATCTTTCCTGCATTATACCTGGATCGCATTTCGTTGCGTGCCTGTGCGGTATTTGCTGCCTTTTAGGTTAGTTTCATTGCGGGTTTGCAGCATTCTAATGGTGTAGTTAATATCTTTGTTGGCATTTCTTTGGGATGGATTAACTGGAAGCACAATTGCTAAATCGAAGGGGATGAGCTTCCACAGTTCTCCAATGCTTGGGGATTGGCAAACACACCCCTCCCACTGTTGAATGGGAAGGTACCTGCATCTTCCTGAGGTCGGCATATCTTGGTAATACAGAAGTAGTCATTTTTTCCCAAGCTTGTGTTCTTTCAGTAAGGTCTGGTTTGCTTTCAACTAATATGTTATTGCTTTTATTTTAAAATCTACTTTACGTTTAGAGACTTTTGGTGTGTTTTAGGATCATTCATTTTGAACTTTTTGTTTTTACACTCTTTCAAGGGGAATCTTTTTCTTTTTGTTATTCTTGTTTGGGGCAGGATCTTGCTATGAAGCCAAGGCTGGCTTCAAACTTGTCATCCTCCTGCCTCAGACTCCCTAGTATTGAGATTACAGGCATGTGCTACCATGCCTGGCTACCACGTGATAGTTCTTTTTTTAAAAAAAAATTTTTGATTAAAAAGTTTTTTTGATATATTTTAATTTCATGAGTGCATTGCCTGCATGTATGTAAGTTCGCCTGTGTGCGCGATGGCTGCGGAGGCCAGAAGAGGGTGTCAAGTCCCATGGAACTGGAGTTAGGAACAGTTGTTAGCTGCTATGAGGGTGCTGGGAACTGAACTGGGGTTCTGCAAGAGAAGCCACCGCTCTTAACCTCTGAGCATCTCTCCAGCACCCCCAAGTGATAGTTCTTTTAAAGAAGATTCCATTTTAGTTTTGTGTGAAATAACTTTGGCAAATATTAATCCCCTAAAACACTGCCATATAGCCTAGCATGGTGGCACCTGCCTAATCATCTGTAATCCCGGCACTAAGTGTGCTGAGGTAAGAGGATCACTGAGTTCAGGCCAGCTTGGATTTCATGGCAAGACTTTGTAACAAAAAACAAAACCAAAAAGTGCCTATAAAAGTATTGTTTTCGAAAGCAAAAGAAATCCAGCAGTGCCTTTTGTTTTATTTTAGAAGTTGTCAGGAAGAATATTTAAGAAAGTAAAAAAAAAAAAAAGTGGGATGATTTTGACCGCCATCACTGAATAAAAACAAGGAGAAGGCAGGAGATCAGCCAGCCTCAGTCCAGCCTCAGCCACATGGGACACAATTCAAAAACAATACAAAACAAAAACAAAACAAAAGGAGTAAAACAAAATTGATACAGTTTTAAAGTTTGCCCTTTTTTTCTTTTTTTTTTTTTTTTTTTGGTCTTTTTGAGACAGGGTCTCCCTGCAGCCCCAGCTGGCCTGGAACCTACTATGTAGACCAGGCTGGCCTCAACCTCACAGAGATCCCCCTGCTTCTGCCTCCCGAGTGTTGGAATTAAAGGCATGGGCCACCACATGCGGCCTTAAAAATCAATATTTACATGCAAGGAGTAACATATTTATATTTAGTATATAATATATGTTTAAGAGGTTCAATTTATGAAGTTAACTATAATGTATTTCGATAATGATGGTATATATGCTACAGTATTTATTTTTTAATATTTTGCTTCGGATTCCCCTGGATCCGGTGTTAAGGATGGTTCCTAGACGGCCTGTGGGTATTGGGAATCGAACCTGAGTCCTCTGCAAGAGCAGTCAGTGCTCTTAACCGCTGAGCCATCTCTCCAGCCCCATGCTACAGTATTTAATGCTCACATGTAAAATTACATTTTTCTCTGTTGAAATGTCTCCCTATAGACTCCAAAGAAATCATCTTTTCTACTCCACCTGGCCTTGAGGTTGAATGTCCAGTGGGATCCATACTGTACTTACTGGTTTTGTTGGGTTCACTGAAAGGACTTCTGTTCAAAAACTGGCTCTGTGGTGGCAGCTTAGGAAACAGCATGAGGCCTTATGGGGTGCAGTACGTGCTGGCCCACTGCAGAGAGGGGCTGTTTCTTGGAGGACTCTGTCTGCTCTTTCTAGGTGGTAGCATTGGTAACCTGCCTGGAGTATTATTGATAGGGGAAAATGGAAGCTCTTCCTCACTAGCCATAGCACAACTGGCTGTAGAAGTTACAGAAAAACAGCAGGATAAATTAAGGTTTTCTTACTAAGTTTGTTTTATAAAATTGAAACGTACTTAAAGTGTTCTACCCTGATATTTTCATTCTTCTGTGAGACATTTAACCTTTACAATGTTGTGAAAATTTTTTTCTTAATACAACTTTTATTTTGGTGATTGTTTTAATGGTTTTGTTCTGTTTTTGGTCCTGGATATTGAGTCCAGGGCCTTGCAAATGTTAGGCATGTGCTGTACCAGAGTTACACCCCCCAGCCCCATTTTAATGTTCTTGAGACTCAGTGTGCTTTTCAAGGTATAAATTTACAATCTGATCTACACATAAGGTAAGCAGAAAATGTGCAGTTATAGCTTAAAGTGTTTGTAATGAATCTGTCATTGATTTCTTAAAATTTCAGCAGGATATAAAAACCAAGGAATTATTGAAAACCAAAGAAAAGGTATCAGAGGATTTTATAGTTTATTTACTCTATGAAAAAAATCTTAATGCTTTGTTCTGTCATTCATGAAGAAAATAGTAAATTAGAAGTAGTAATGGAAATTCTAATAGCAATATGTCTTTTGAATTCCTTTGAATTATTATTATTATTTTATTTTAAGGAAGCTGCACAAGCCTTAATTTATGCTGAGATGGCAGGATCAAGTCTAGAACGTATCCAAGAAAAAATTAATGAGTATCTGGAGAGAGTTCAAGCTCTGCATTCGGCAGGTTAGTAAGAGACTTTGTTCTTTCACAGCATGCCTTTACACCTGTGTTTCTCTTTCCTGTTCATCTATGGATTCTGATCTTCTCTTTCTGCTCATCCCTCCTTAAAAATCATGATATGAAAATAAATGATAGCTCTATAAGAAAAACATTAGGGGGCTGGAGAGATGGCTCAGCAGTTAAGAACAGAGGATCCAGATTGGATTCCCAGCACCCACATGGCTACGAACCGTCCTTAACTCCAGTTCCGGGCAATCCCAAAGCCCTCTTCTGACCTCCACAGCATTGCACGACATGGGTGCACTCACATACATGCAGGTGGTACACTCATGCACATAAAATAAAAATAATAAAAAATTTTAAAAAAAGAAAAACATTAGCAATAGTAAAGTACAATTTCCTAGTTTTCTGTAGGTGCAGAGATAGTGGACAATCTATTAAGTTTATCACTGGCAAAGTTGAGAATCTTGTCAGCCTGCTTTAAAAAAAATTTTTTTTTAAATTTTATTTTATGTTTATGAGTGTCCTGCCTACATGTATGTAAGGGCAACCATGTCATGCAGTGCCCTTGGAGGTCAGAAGAGAGAGCTGGATCCCCTGGAACTGGACTTACTGACAGTTGTTACCCGCCATGTGGGTGTTGGGAATCGAACCTGGGTCCTCTGCAAGAGCAGCCAGTGCTCTTAACTGCTGAGTAATCTCTCCAGTCCCTCAAAGGTAATTTTTTAAGTTTTGCTGTATTTAATTCAAAGAGGGAAGACACTTCGTAACTCTCTAAGATTAATAACTTGTATTTTTTTCACAGTTGTTGGAAGAACTTGAAGGATTTAGAGAACACTGATTGGAATTAATATAGCAGCTCATGACATAAGTGTGACTGTATACAAACAGTAGGGAAAGAGGGAAGTTTGTCTTTGGTTACCAGTTCCTACTCCTAAGGTAGTATCAGCATACCGATACTTCAAAAAAAGATTTTTGTTATATATTGTACCAAGCTTTTAAAATGAAGACTTATAGGCGTTTTGGCAAACAAGGTCTTAAATATATTAAAGTGGTGGTGTTCCCTGACTACATTTAAGTAATGTTCTTTCTCTGTATGTTTTTGTGCCATTTTAGTTCAGTCAAAGAGTGCTGATCCTTTGAAATCAAAACATCAGTTGGACCTAGAGCGTGCCCACTTCCTGGTTACACAAGCTTTTGATGAGGATGAAAAAGGGAATGTGGACGATGCTATAGAATTGTATACAGAAGCTGTGGATCTCTGTCTGAAAACCGTAGGTATAGCCATGAGTTAAACTTGATAGAATTATGTGAATAAATTCCTTCCTTACTAATGAATTCTACTTAATTTGAGAAAAAAAACACTAATCTATCATAAATATAACTAAATCCTCACTAAAAGATAATGAGTAGGAAGTTAATAATGGACATTTACACCTTATTAAATTTTTGTCACTACTGAGGTCACTAAACAGTTGCTTTTTTAAAATTATAGATGTTAGGTGGTAGTGGTGCACGCCTTTAATCCCAGCATTCAGGAGGCAGAGGCAGGAGGATCTCTGATTTAAAGGCCAGCCTGGTCTGCATAGTCAGTTCCAGGTCAGCTGGGGGCTACAGGGAGATCCTGCCTCAAAAAGACTAAAAACTATAGATGCTAATTTTTTAACTGTATACTTTAAATTTCTAGGTTTATTTTGTGTGTATGCGTGTTTTGCCTGTATATATGTAAGTATACCACTTACGTGCATTGCCCTGCAGAGGCCAGAAGAGGCATCAGATCCCCTGGAACTGGAGTTATGGGCAATTGTCTGTTGCCAAGTGGGTGCTGGGAACTGAACCTGGGTCCTCTGCTGAGACATCTCTCCAGCCCCAACTTTAATAACTGAAATTACTGTTGAAAGAATTCCTCATCATAAATCTATGAATTTAGTGTAAACTTTTTTTTTTAAATTTCATACAGTAAAAAAAAATAAGGTAATTGTTTGGGAGACCTTTATTAGCTTGCAATGTAAAATCCATGTGCTGTGTGGCTTACTGCTCCCTGATGAGACCTTAGCTGCCTCTCTTAGCTTCGCAGAGCATCTAGTACTTAGGAGCAGTGCATTTGACAGGAAAATGAGGTACAGCGGTATCTTTCTCATGCCAGTTTTGGGCAGGGTGTTATGTTCAGAAAAACCATCTACGCTGATTTCTCTTTATCCCTAAGAACACAGGTAAGTGCTGGTTTCCTCAGGTTCCTGCCATTTACCCTTCCATGCTACCATGTTTGTGCATTTATGGTCTGATTAGCACTTGTCCTAGGTTCACCCCAGTGAAAAATACTGAACATGTTCTTTAAATGGTAACCTTTAACGACAAAAATAAAATGTCTTTATTTACTCATAGTTTCAAGAAGTAAAATGTATATTGTAATTTTTGTATAGAAATATAGATTAATAAAGAATTATGCTTTAGAATGTCTGTCTCTTTCTCTTAAGTCTTATGAAACTGCTGATAAGACTCTGCAAAATAAATTGAAACAGTTGGCTCGACAGGCGCTAGATAGGTGAGTTTTGTTGCTCAAATTCTTAACAATGGATAGCATGCATTATGCTGTTTTTATGTAACGGATTTAATGTGTGGTAGAAGTCCAAAAGTTCCTTGTTAAGCTAAGATGTAGAAATCTACCTCTCTGCCTGAGTAAATTTACTTCCTCGCTAGTTCCTTGCTTTAAACTGAAGAAATAGTCCATCTATCATTGAAGAAGTATTTTTAGTGTTTGCTATATAGAGAGGGGAAAAAAACCCTGATACTTGATTTGTTTTATAACTCTGATATTATTCAGATGGGGTGTGGGGAGGGATGTTGGGTCTTGAACCCAAGGTTTTGTGCATATTAATCAAACATTCAAGCACTAAGCTATATTTGCAGTCCCCAACTGTGGTATTTGAAATGGGCGACTTCCTTTATGCTGTGTAATATTAGACTTCCAAAGGAAATCTTTCAGAAAGACCTCCAGAGTGATTATAAAAAATAGACATTGAGAATGCACCTGCATTCCCAAATCACATCAGATGTGTAACCTTCATCTCAAGCTTGTGTCACTTTTCCAAGGCCTTTCCTAAGCATCGAATCTCCCCTACTACCTCTTTGATTATATATATTTAAATTTTCTTTTTCATTGCTCTTGCTCCTTTGTAAGGTTTATGAAAAGACCAGTTTATTTGCTGTTGATGTCTACGTTGCATCCAGCCTTCATCCCCTAAATGTAAGCTTACAAAGACAGAATTTTGGCCATTTTATCAAGTTGTGAATTACGTACCTAGCAGAGTGCCTAACATATATGTGTTGAGTAGGTATTTGTTGAAAGAATGAATTTGCCTAAGAGAATTATGACTCTTGAAAGAGCGTTATAGATAAAGGAAAGGGGTAGAAATTACATTTATTCCTAGAGCTTGAAGTTTAAAAGTTACCTTCTATTAAAGCTCCATCTAGATGACTCTGTCCCCCAAGCTGTTCTTTTATTGAGGTATGGCTCATTCTTCCTTTGCATCATCAACTAACATTTTCTGTATTCAGATTCATGAAGGCAAAAGCACTCAACACATAGTTGCTTCTTCCAGTTTCTGGAGTGTAGCGATTACCACCTTCACCTGACATAGTTGTCTTCTCCATCCTGATTTCTTCTAGTTAGAATCCTGGCTTATTTTTATTATCTGTGTAAGTAACCTGTGCAGTATTCCTGAGTCCATCCTAAGCAAAGGCGGGTAGGATTGGGGTAGCAGTTATGCGCTCCTTTGAGGATCTGTTGAAGATTAAGGATTTTCTTTCTAGGCAAATAAATATACACCAAGTTTTTTTTGGTGTATAATTTCAAAGTGTTACAAGACTCCTGGAACTCATGTGGAACTTGTGTTAAGAACTTCTTTTTTTAGCTTATTATTTCTTTAACACAGCAGTCAAAATTCCCTCGAATATCTACAAGCCTTCTGTGACTGAATCCTGCCTTCCTGTCATCTCAGCTCCTGTTGCTTCTCATCTGTACTTTCACATCTTTTGAAGTGACCTCAGCTCCCTTCGCTGTTTGATCCTTCTGCTCATTCTCTGTATGCTTCCCCACGCTGCAGATGAACCTCTGTGACTCAAGCAGTAGGTCTGACCAGCCTTCCCTGGACTCATCCTCTCTTCCTTGATGAACTTTTTTTTTTTTTTTTTTTTTTGGTCTTTTTGAGACAGGAGCTGGGGCTCCCTGTAACCCCAGCTGGCCTGGAACTTGCTCTGTAGACCAGGCTGGCCTTCAACTCACAGAGCTCCACCTGCCTCTGCTTCCCGAGTGCTGGGACTAAAGGCGTGTGCCACCATGCCCAGCTGATGAACTCTTTTTTAAACTTTTTAAAATTTATTTTTACTTTATGTGTATGCGTGTATTGCCTGCATGCATGTAAATGTTGTACAATGTCTGGGAAGCCAGAAGAGGGCATCAAATCCCCTGGAACTGGAGTTACAGAAGGTTGTTAGCTGCCATGTGGATGCTTGGATTCAAAGTCCTCTGCAAGAGCGGCCAGTGCTCTTAACCACTGAGCCATCTCTCCAGCCCCTTAGTTAACTCTTAAAGTGATGTTGTTGCCTATAAACATTAATAAAACACTTGGGAGGTGGAGGCAGGAGGATGAGGAATTCAAGGCCAGACTTCACTATGTAGCAGGTTTGAGGCCAGTATGAGTGAGATCCTGTCTCAAAAACAAACAAACAAAAATGCCTAAATTTAAGAAGAAAAACTCGAGTTTTTCTGTGCTTCTATTTTAGAGCAGAAGCATTGAGTGAGCCTTTGACAAAGCCATTTTGCAAAGTCAAGTCAACAAATACTAAAACGAAGACCCCTCCTGTGAGAACACATTTTCCTCTAGGACCTAATCCCTTCCTTGAGAAGCCTCAGGCATTTATAAGTCCACAGTCATGTGATGCGCAAGGACAGAGATACACAGCAGAAGAAATAGAAGTGCTCAGGTAAATCCTTATGATTCACTGCAATGAAAACATTTGAATATAACCAGTGCAGGTTATTTCATTCTGAATTGTGTTCAGAACTTTGTGGTAATATGTTGTGCTAGTATTTGACTGTGAATTATATAATTACAGCTTGAATAATAAAATCTGTTGGTTCTAATATATTTTAGTATTAACATTTTTTTCTAGGTGGGTTTTTCTGGTAATCTTGAAATTCTCCAGGTTTGAGCCCTGAAGATAAAGGAGCACAACAGAATTAAGGCAGACTGCTAGTACTCTGTGTACCTTTGAGACCACAGCCCCAGTGGGGAAAAAGACTTTGAAATAGCCAGCAAACAAAAGTCTGGAGCTATGACTAGTTTTTCACTTTTTAAGAGTTTTTTAAAAAAAGAAAATGAAAACAGAATGTGTGACAGAGACCTCATTGTGAAACCTAAACTGTATATCACCTGGATCTTTACAGAAAATGTTGGCAGACCCCTGGTCTATGTAGATAGCTCAGAGTATCTGAAAGCAGCGTCAGGGGATATTAAAAATGCCAAACATAAGCTGGACCTGGCACATGCCTGTCATCCCATCACTCTGGAGGTAGGAGGATCACAAGTTCAGGTTCAAGACCAGTCTGGGCTATATTGAGACCCTGCCTCAAAAAACAACAGTAACAAACCCACAAGAATGTAGAAGTCCTTGATTGTCTTTGGAATCGGTTGAGAAAGGATAAATCTTTGACCAGGAGGTGACTGTTTTTGAGTTTGACAAGTCATGTAGGTGTTTGATTTTTTTGTTGTTTTTTTTTTTGGTCTTTTTGAGACAGGGTCTCCCTGTGGCCACAGCTGTCCTGGAACTCACTATGTAGACCACGCTGGCCTTGAACTCACAGAGATCCGCCTGCCTCTGCCTCCCGAGTGCTGGGGTTAAAGGCATGCACCACCACGCCTGGCAGGTGTTTGTTTTTAATTTTCCTGAAATTGGGCTGAAAGGACTTCCTCCTAGTTCACAGCCCCCATGAGCACCTTTCTTTCCTGCTGCAGATTTTAATTCTGCTCCTATTAGCTTGGTTCCCTTTGCCTAGGAAAAACTGCATGTGAACACAGTACAAGAAAAGGGTCATTTTGAAGCTGAGGCACACTAAATTAGGGAGAAGTTATCATTTTTACTGCCTGGTATTTGTATATTGCCTTCTGTATAACATTTGGAATTCTGGGCTCTTAACAAAGCATCTCTGTATTTCTACCCTCATAATGCATCTGTCCTTCAAGTGAAAATGAGGGTACACTTTCCAACAGTCACTATGTCCACTGTGCCTGCATTCATCTTCAAATTCATGGATTATTAGCACCGAAAGACTAAATTATAAAGTTGCCCTGCAACTACTCTCAATTTAGGAAAAAAAAAAAATGTGATGTATGAGAACAAAATAGTACTGGCCACAATTCCAGCACTCAGGAAACTGATAAGAGACCAGCCAAATACTCTTACTACACAGTGAAGCTCTCTCTCAATAAAAGAAAAAAGAGGAAATTGTTAATGTATATAAAACAGGTAAAGCCACTACAAACCTCACTTCTTGAATTTGTCAACAAGTCATAGCAGATACCTGTGGTACTTCCTCCTCTACTACCCATTCCACAGTCTCCTATCCAGAAAAGAACATGTTTTTCAGAATTGCATGTCATGTTTTGAAATCCCCCAGATAACAAAGTAACTATTTGCTCCTTTGAACTTAGGATAGAATTGGCTTTGTATTCTTGTATTGGACACAAAGCCCTATCTTAAGACTATAGTTTTGTTGTAAAAGATGTCAGGTGGGTTTGTTGTTGCTTGCTGCAGCTATTTTATTTATTTTTGTGCTGAGGGTTGAACCTAGGGCTTTGCACATGCTAGGCAAATGCTCTGCCCCTGAGCTACATCCTAAGCCCAGAATGTTAATTTTAAAAGAATGTCTCATTAAATTGGATTGAATTACAGCAGTTATTTTCTGGTATTTGTTTTATCAGAAATGTCTAAAGAGCCGAGCAACATGATGTTGTCTGCTTAATACAACACCACACTTTATCATTTGAATTTTACCTTTGATGCCAACCAAAAGATGGAGGAGTTACTGTCATTTAGAGTTGAAGATCATTGATTAAGATAGACTTGAAATCTTGGATTCTTTTTCTTGTGTTTTATAGGACAACATCAAAAATAAATGGTATAGAATATGTTCCTTTCATGACTGTTGATCTGAGGGAACGTTTTGCTTATCCAATGCCTTTTTGGTAAGTAAGCACTGTAGTAATTTTACTTTCAAGATCATTTAAAATTTTCCCCAAACTCTGAAATTCAGTTGAATTCATAGCTTGAAATTAATTTTTTAAAATTTTATTTATTATTTTGATTTTATGTGTATTTGTGTATTGCCTGCATATAGGTAAGTGCACCCGTGTCGTGCAGTGCCCACGCAGATCAGAAGAGGCTGTCAGATCCCCTGGGCCTGGAGTTACAGACAGTTGTTAGCTGCCATGTGGGTGCTGAGATTTGAACCCAGGTCTTCTGCAAGAACAACCAGTGCAGCCCCGAAGCTAAATTGTATATACAAAACTGGTTGAAGAAAGGAGTATGTATGGGATAGAGGAGGAAAAATTGTCCTGAGAAAGATGTGAACAATACAAAGTTGTCTGTGTAATACAGCACCAGAACACAGCAGTAGCACGTTTGTTTTAATTTGCCTAGTCATGGGCTCCTGTGGAGCTTTTGGCCCAGTCATAGTGCTTAGTATAACACCTGGCAGAGAGTAAGTACTCTGCAAACATTTCTTCAGTTCATGACTGGATCGCAATAGAAATACAAGCCAGAGAGTAATATAAAAGTCGAATAAAATGTCAGCATCATTCCTTACTAAGATCCAGTTAAAGAAAGTGTTATTGTACAAGCCAGAGAGTAATATAAAAGTCGAATAAAATGTCAGCATCATTCCTTTCTAAGATCCAGTTAAAGAAAGTGTTATTGGCTGGCATGGTGGTGCACACCTTTAATCCCAGCACTCGGGAGGCAGAGGCAGGTGGATCTCTGTGAGTTCAGGGCCAGCCTGGTCTGCAGAGCGAGTTCTAGGCCAGCTGGGGCTACAGGAAGACCCTGTCAAAAAAGCCAAAAAAAAAAAAAAAAAAAAAGTGCTATTTGTAAAAGTATTATCATAGCCTTCTAGGTCAGTGGCAGAGGCGTAAAAATATTGTTTGATTTAGGACTCATAATTTCTAGTTATCCTAAGGAAATCAGTATGCAAATTTGTATGTAGTGCCAGGCACTTGGGAGGCTGAGGCAGTCAGATCTCTGTGAGTTCAAGGCCAGCCTGGTCTATATAGCTAGTTGCAGACTAGCTGGGGATACAGGGAGGACCTTTCTCACCCACCCCCAACAAAAAACCCAAAAATGTATGTAGTAAGAGCATTTATCCAAATGTCTGTTGTGGTAAAGGTTTCAGAACTAAATATCCAGAGGTTTGAGAATGATTCAGTCATGGGACATCCATACAATCAAATGCTGTTTCCTAAATAAAGTCTTTTTAAAAGTAGGAATCATACTCATAATAGAGAAACTTAAAGCAATATAAAATTATGCATGTAATTTTCAAATTAATTTTTATTTATAAGTGCATAGAAAAAGAAATATGGTAAATGCCCACAGTGGTTAACTTTACATAGCAAAACTATATGGTTTAAATTTCTTTTTTCAAAATATCTGCAGTGAGCATGTGATATTTATTATCAGAAAAAGTTTGAATTTGTATTATCTATAGAATGAAAAGCTCCATAAAGAATAAGAAAATTGCTTTTCATTTTAAAATGTTCTGCTTTTCTTAAATGGCCTAAAGTGTCAGAAAGCCAGTAAATTAGCAACCTCATTTTTTCACTTAGGCAGCCATATCAGTGATTCTAGTAACAGATTGGGTTCTAAGAAATTTAAAAAGTTTTATGACTTTGATGTTAGGTACGTAGATTTAATAGGCAAACTTAAGATTGTATTTTTATGGTTAATTATGTGTGTATGTGTATGTGAATCACTAAATGTGAGTATAGTGCCTGCCAAGGCCAGAACAGAGAGTCAGCTTCCTGGAGGTGGAGCTACAGGTAGTTGTAAGCTACCCAATGTGGGTGCTGGGAACTGAACTCATATCTCTGTGAGAGCTATGTGTGCTTTCAACTGCTGAGCCATCTCTCCAGACCCTAATAGGCAGACTTCAGTTTGAGATCCTGTGTGCTGCTGGATGAGTTAGGTCTTTCTCTATTTCATCAACTATATGAAATGAGGCAAGTAATAGAGCATGTGTATTCCATGATGTAATGGTGATTCGATGAGTTAGTGAAGTAAGACGCTCTTAGAATGGAGCTTGTTATTTAGCAGCCCTGTTTAACAAGAGAAAAGCACTAGAATAGTACTCATTTTATTAAAGACTAAAATTATAGATCACCATTTGGTTGTATATGTCAAAAGAATTATACTTCTGATGATTTCACTTCAGGAAACTAATTCTAAAGCAGTGTTTAGAGATTTATTCAAATATTTATACAAAAATATTAATATTATAGTTGTTAAAATGAATCCATATTTTATGCCAAAGTTAAACTTTTAAACTATACTTTGTGTGCGTGTGTGGCTAGGTACATGCAGTTAATATACTTTTTTTTTGTCTTTTTGAGACAGGGTCTCCCTGTAGTCCCAGCTATCCTGGAACTCACTATACTTTTAAAGTAAATAAAAATGAATTTATGTTCACTTCTGCCTTTAATTGGAGAGGATACTCAGGTTGATTGGATTCAAGGTCAAATGTAAAAAGCCAGATTTTACCAGAGTTACTTTGGGAAGACAAAAGTGTAGGTGTATGATCTCTGTGTCAAAAAGAAAGTTTCATCATCTTCCAAAACTGATCTATTTTTGTAATTTGTATTGCTTCCTCAGCGATAGATGGGGCAAGCTGCCATTATCACCTAAACAAAAAACTACGTTTTCCAAATGGGTACGGCCAGAAGACCTCACCAACAATCCTACAATGATATACACTGTATCCAGTTTTAGTATAAAGCAGGTAAATATTTACATATGAATTTGATTTTTTTTCTTAGATTGTATATATTCAGATGCGCAAGTATAATTACAAAAATTATTCGTTCTAAACATTTAAAAAAATTGTTTTCAGCTCAATTTGGTAGTACATACTTGGAATCTCAGCACTCCAGGTAGAAGGCCAGTGTGGGCTACTTAGAGTTTGAGGTCAGCCTGGACTACAAAGTGAGATTTTTTCTCAAAAAAAAAAAAAAAAAAAAATTTTTTTTTTTCCTTCTGAGATGACATCTTGCTGTGTTGCCCAAGCTGGCCTTGAGCTCAAGATCTTCCTGCATCAGCCTCCTAACTGACTAGGATTTCAGGTGTGGGCCACCATGCCCAGTTCACTCTATACATTTTTGTTTTAACATTGAGAAAATTGTATAACATGAGAAACTTTTGAGCAATTATAGGTTTTTTTTTTTTAATACTAGGTAGGAATTGAACACAGGGCCTCATGTATGTGAGGCAGTTACTTCCACTAAGTTACAGCCCTAGTCCCAATTATACATTTCTGTTTTTGTAGATAAGAAATGAGAACTGAATTTCACATTTGACAAGAAAATAAATATAAAAGATAATTATTTGAATATCTAATTATGGGGCTGGGAGATGGCTCAGTGGTTAAGAACACTGATTGTTCTTGCAGAAGACCCGTGTTAGAATCCCATCACCCACATGGCAGCTAACAGCTGTCCGTAACTCCAGTTCCAGGGCATCTGACAGCCTCTTCTGACCAGTGCAAGCATTGCATGACACGATGCACTTACCCACATGCAGGCAATGCACACATACACATAAAACGATAATAATAAAAATAAATAAATATCCAATTATTGGGGGCTGGAGAGTTGGGTTAGTCAGTAAAGTGCTATCTGCATAAGCATGGGAACCCAAGTTCGCTTTCCCAGGATCCCCATTAAAAAAAAAAAGTGTGACAGCAGCACACTCTTGTGACCTCAGAAATGGAAGGGCAGAGCCAGGTAGATCTCTGAAACTCACTACCCAGATCAGTGAGCTTCAGGTTCAATGAGAGACCATGTCTCAAAAAGTCAAAGGTTGAGTGATTGGAGAAAGATAGCCAGTGTTTACCTCGAGCCTCCATGTGCTGCACATACCCTAATAAGTATACACCATACACACATAGAAATCCGTGTACCTGAAAACACAAATGATTCTAAACTAACTCATTGAAATACTTTATTTTTTCTAGAATTTGAATATGTGGGTTAACAGTATAACATTTCTATTTTCCTATTTGGACAGTAATTGAGAAAGTATTTAACATAAAAGCTCAAGTAGTAGGTACAATGCATAAATTGTGCAAATGTTAAAATTATATGGGGGCTGGAGAGATGGCTCGGTGCTTAAGAACACTTGTTCTTCCAGAGGACCCAGGTTGAGTTCCCAGCACCCACTTGGTAGCTAACAACTGTCCATAATTCCAGTTGCAGGGGATCCAACACTTTCTTCTGGTCTTTGTGGGCATTGTGTGCACATGGTGTATTTACATACATGGAAGCAAAACACTCGTACACATAAAATAAAAGTAATAAATTTTTTGAATGTTGAAATTATATGAATTAAAGAATATATTACTGTATTATTCTTATTAACAGACAATAGTATCAGATTGTTCCTTTGTGGCATCACTGGCTATCAGTGCAGCTTATGAAAGACGATTCAATAAGAAGTTGATTACCAGGTAAAATTTTGTGTTTTCCCTTCGTAAAATTGTTGCTTAGTTGGAAATTAAAAATTTGGACCTTATCGACACAGCAAGAGGAGAGGGCCCATCACTGGAGTATTACTGTCCTTCTGTAAAAGTTAAACAGATGGTTCCTGAATGTGGGGAGTTATTCTACAGCAGTAAGACTATATGCATATGTAGCTAACTAATGTATGTGGCATAAATGTTTTTAAAATTGATGAAATCAAAGTAAAAATCACATAATTTGTCATTTTTAAATTTTGATTTATTTTTTATGTGTATGAGTGTTTTACCTGCATGTTTATTAGTGCATCCATGTTGTGTAATGCCCACAGAGGTCAGAAGAGGGTGCTGGATCCCCTGGAGCTGGAGTTGGGGATGGTTGTTAGTTGCCATGCATATGCTAGGACCCAAACTCAGGTGAAGTGCTCTTAACTGCTGAACCATCTCTCCAGCCTCATACTTTATAGTTTTAAATGAACAATAAGGTAGCAGCTAGCCTCCTGTGGCTATTGAGCAGTTAAAAAACAGGTTATTTTGAATTCAGATGGGCTACATGTGTAAGATGTGAAATTTTGAAGACTTAGCATATGAAATGTAAAATTGGAAAATATCTCACATTTTGTATTGAGTGCATATTGAGATCATAACTGGAGTCAGCAAAATGTTAGAATTAGTTTTATCTTTTTCTTTAGCTTTTAATATGGTTATTAGGAAATAGAAAGTATTCCTGTTGGCTATAACTGCTTTAAAATTCATTGAAATGTTTCTGAAAATTTTTTCAGTTTTTGAAAGTTATATTATTAACTCAGAAACTTTCAGTGAAAAAGTTTCTAATCATAATTTTTCATTGTGCTTTTCTTGAGTAGTTTTTGTGTGTTAAGGCCTAAGGGTAAAAGATGAATCAGACAATTTTTAACTTCAGCTACTTGCCATATAAATAACCAATTTGCAGCATATATTTGATCCAAATATATTTTAAAAGAAATATATATATAAGTTATCTCATCAATAACTTTAATTTTATGTACTTTTATTAGTTGTACTTAGTGTCTTTGTTGTGATTTATTGAAATGGTCTGTACTTGATAAAAGTTGTTTATCCATTTAGTACATGTTTTTTTTAAAAACATGTAGTTAGAAATTGAGCTAAGCATGGTGGCATTCGCCTTTATTCCCAGTACTCAGAAGGCAGAAGCAAATGGATCTCTGTGAGTTCAAAACCAGCCTGGTCTACATTGTGAGTTCCAGGCCATCTGGGGCTACAGGGAGACCCTGTCTTAAGAAAGACCAAAAAAAACCTGAGCATTAGAGACTGGGGCTGTAGCTCAGTTGATAAAGTTCTTATGCACAAAGCCCTGGGTTCAGTCCCCAACACTGTATAGACTGGCTATGGCGGAGCATATCTATAATCCCACCACTCTGCAGGTGGAGGCAGGAGGATCAGAATTACAAAGTCTTCCTCAGCTGCCTAGGGAGTTAGCAGCTCACCTGAAGTACAACTTGGGCTCTGGACAGAATCGAAAAGAAAAGAAAGGAAAAGAAATAAAAGAAAGGAAGAGAACAGAAGAGAGGAGGGGAGGGGAAGGGAGGGGAGGAGAGAGAGAATATATTGTGAAATATTCTTTCTGAATATTGTGACAATTTTACTCTATTTCATGATTTTATAAACTATTTTGTTAAGCTGGGTGTGGTGGTGCATGCCTGCAATCCCAGTACTTCAGAGGCTGGGGCAAGAGGATCATGAATTCTAGGCCAACTTGATCTACATAGTGAGACCTTGTCTTAAAAGAAAAAGCAAAAACAAAAGAACTTTAAAACATTAAAATACTCTTGTGTTTATTTTTATAAAATCAGAAAGACATTATCATATGTCTAAATAAATGGCATGTGTTTAAATGTAATATAAAATCTTGTATATTAGTTGATACTGAATATTAATATTCATATTATATATTTTCCTTTCCAAAAGCATAATTTACCCTCAGAATAAGGATGGTGAACCAGAATACAATCCCTGTGGAAAGTATATGGTAAAACTTCACCTCAATGGTGTCCCAAGAAAGGTGACTGTTCTTCTCTTACCTCCCTCATCCCCACCCTACTCCCCTTTCTTTTCTTCTAAGCCTTTGAATCTTAAATGGAAGCTATTAAGAAATGTTATATATGTAAAAATTTTAAAAGTCAATTTAGTTGATTTTGAGTTTGTGCTATTGTACACTACTACCAATAGAATAATTTAATAGTAATTAAAAAATAAAACCCATTACAAAATTTATTTTTTTTTTTGTCTTTTTGAGACAGGGTCTCCCTGTAGCCCCAGCTGGCCTGGAACTCACTATGTAGACCAGGCTGGCCTTGAACTCACAGAGATCCGCCTGCCTTTGCTGGGATTAAAGGTGTGCGCTACCACGCCCGGCCAGAACTTGCATTTTTAACAGAATCAACTACTAATGTCTGGAAACACCCTTTGAGAGTCATTCTCATTACTTAAAAACTAAAATTTTGAGAATGATAATAACCTTTTGTTTAAAAGAATCTTATGTTAGGTATGGTGGCACATATAATTTTAGCACTCAGGAGACTGAGGCAGGAGCATAGTCAGTTTAGAGGCCAGTCTAACTGGCCATAAGAAAGTGTCTCAAGGGGCTGGAGAGATGGCTCAGCACTTGAGAACACTGACTGTTCTTGCAGAAGACATGGGTTCGAATCCCAGCACCCACATGGCAGCTAACAACTGTCCGTGACTCCAGTTCCAGGGGATCCGATAGTCTCTTCTGTTCTCCGTGGGCATTGCATGACACAGGTGCACTAACCTACATGCGGGCAATACGTGCATACACATAAAATAAAAATAATAAATAAAATATAAAAAAAAGAAACTCTCAAAATGTAGTTTAAATAATAATCTCTCTGGTATTCTTAGGTCAAAAGTCTTCTTTGATCCAAGTGTCTTCCAAATCAGTTTTAATATGAATTAGATACTGTATCTTTATATAGTGTTTGCTCAGTTATTTAAATATAGTTTTTAGTTATAATTTTTTAAAAAAAAACTTTTTAAAATTTTATTATTTTTATTTTATGTGTATGTGTGTATTGCCTGCATGTAGGTAAGTGCACCCATGTTTTGC